TTCTCAGAAACGAGCCGGAAACCCGAACTTTTTTCACCATAGATATAGCGCACTGAGATCTACAAGATGCGCGAAACCTCGACTGAAAGGCGGATTAACACCTAGGAATGTTCCCTTGTCAGCCTAAAAATAAAATAGAAAATCTTCATGCTCTTCGCCCCCGAAAATGTGGCATCTCCCGTATCGATATTTTCAAGCATCTCCTAAGGAAAGGGTTTTTCGATTTATAGCCTGGGATCCCAGCCGGAGATGCATGTCCCGCAGGAGATGCTGTATCTCCTGTAGAGACGCAGCAACGCGCGATAAATGTTTTTTTAGCAAGGACCCCGGCGGGAAATGCTGCATCTTCCTGCACTTCTTCAGCTTCCACAATTTCCTGAGTGTGTGACACTGCTGCGCAGCCAATGAACCATCGTATGGCAAACTATCCTACGAAGGCTAACTCTCCAAAACGTTAATTTCTATTAGCTCTTGATCTACTAATGTAGCTTTGAGGGAAATGAAGTTCGGTTTTGGATTCCTTCCTCTAAAAACCAATGTTTAATTATGATAGAACATCGAACAAGCGCTTTTTCAACTGAGAAATATGATTTGGATTTTCCATCAATCAGACCGTAGGCAAATCGATCAAAAATATCCATTCTTCAAGCTATCCGTTCGGGATTGAGAATGACTTTATTTCGTTGTTTAGCAACGTGAAGAATAGAAATATGCTTTTGCTTATATCTATACAGAATAAATAGTTAAATATAGAGAAGAGACTTGACACAAATGGCATTACATGTTAAGTCCAGTAGTTCAGTGGGTTAATGTAGCAAACTGACACTGAAACCCAAATCCAAACTCATATACCCAAACTCATATACCCAAACCCAAACCCAAACCCAAACGGTTTGGGTTTGGTGCATGCCTAATTGTAAGTGTTCACTGTTCACTGATAATTATTGATTTTGAAATTCAAGTTCAGTCCAGTCATTGTCGTGCTGCGCTTATGTCTTCGACAAGTGGCGTTCAATTTAAACAAATATTCAATCCATTCGAACATTCTCATCTCTCATTATATCTGAAATGTTTAGCTCGAATTAAATCTGAACGTGAACAAACATTTCCTTATATTCGTCGTTGTTATTATTTTATCTTTATTCCAACTAGTTTTTGGCCACGTTTATCAACACGTTTAATTGGTGATACATAATTACAAAAAGAATTAACAAAAATTTTGTTTTGCTGATCTTATTACTTATCAATCGAATCCTGATTCGAAAAAAATTCAACAAATTCTCCTTGCTGAATGTTCATGAATTGTTTGTTAAACTGGTTTGTGAACTTCCTTATTATGATTGTTGTCTTTTACGAATTAATCAAATGAATCTTACACCAATTGATGATGATATTTCACTTTCATATTCGAGTATTATTTTTCAATTTGATACTAATGAAGAACAAAAAAACAACTTCAACAATTTCATGATTTCGAATCTTTTATTGAGATTATACTTTGTACAAGTGATTTACAAATGTTGATCGGCACAAATGAAGGCGAACATTCATTTTTAATTGAATTGTTATTTCAAGAAAGTACTCTTGTTCGCCTTTTAACAACATTAATGGGCCATTTTGATAGTTTATTAGAAGATTGGTATCCTAAACTCGGCAATCGATTTGTTCAGAATGCCAAAGATGATTATTTAATAAATCTTTTTATTCCTTGTCATCGATGTTTAACTGAATTCAATTCAACGGAAAAACCTCTTTGTCAAACATTTTGGTTAGAAATGTTGATGATGCTGATTGAAAAACAACAGGAAATAAAATGGGAAATACTTGCTTTAATACGAACAGGAAAATTGTTATGTTTATTATATAAATCATGGGATTCAAATATGCTTGAATAGTCAAGTAATGCAGAAAATCATGATAAAATTCCATTAGTTAATTTAGATAAAGATTTGTATAGGTATTGGTATTGGTATATCACAAAGGTTAATACATTTCATGGGCTTGTTGAATACTCAACCAGATATTATTCGTCTTTACGGTTCAATTCTTTCAATTTTCGCCTATCAAAATTAATTATGGGTTATTCATCATTAAAAACAAGATCTTTCATTCCATTAAAAAAAACTAATCTTCATTTTTTTGTTTAGATCTTCTAAAGAAATAAACTATGTCCTATGTATATTTAGATATGGAAGTCATCTTTATTTAATAGGTCCATTATTGGGGTGTAGCCAGAAAAATCTCGTTGGAGGAGGAAGCTCAGCACCCTATTTTTCATGAAGTTGAATATAAGTGACTTGCATTCTCTCCAGGCAAGATAATAAAAATAATAAAGAAGTTTGAATAATTATAATAAGGTTGATGCAATTTTCGTCAGTTACTCTAGGCTTCGACGTATCTATTCCATTCCACCTTTGTCTAACCATGTATAACATTGCGTTGTAATTATGCTTGTTGTTGATACATTGCATAATTGCTTGCCGCCAAAATATGACCGCGACTTTTTAAATGTTGATCAAAGCCTTTCAATTTATCAAAAGCTTTTTTCCAATGTTGAAATTCATTATTGACGGATGTGTCAGTTTTGAGTCTTTTTTTGATGATGTTGGTACACTGAAATAACGGCAATAATAACAGTAACTACAATCTTTTTGGATTGAGTATTCTAGCCATGGTTGTCCATGAAACCAATTTCCGATGAATGATTGATTTTCATGATTTCTTGGATAAGAAATAAGCTTTGATTGAGCCAGTGGATCTTGACATGAATGTATAATATCAATAAAATCAGCAGATACTCCACTAATTGTCTTTTCATTAAGTTGTATGTAGTAATCGTTTTCAATCTTAACATTTTGAAACGATTTCATTTAAGTAGTTGTAGCAAGTTCATTGTTAGTGACAGATGTATATGAATCATATGATTGTAAAATAACGTTTTCATTATTGATACCATCATCAATGTTCAAACGTATGAGCTTACTTCTCATTTGAGCTAATGAAAAAAAAAATCTAGAGTGTTTCTCTTATTATTTTGCATGAATTAACGTTATGTGATCAGTGGAAAAGTGTAATATTGTGATCGGGTCATTCTCAAAAGAGATACATTTTTTTTTGTATATAAAAAGCTTTAAAAAATAACAAAACAATACATCTTGAACGGTGTTGCCTAGTTCTACGTTCAAAATATTTCAATATGTAGCTATTTAATATTCAACATTATCTAAATATCTTCGTAGCTATTTCAAGACTACTTAGCTATTTAAAGCCCGATACATGTTGAAAACTTCATTTTTATTTAAATAAGTGTTTTCTGTTTATTTAATGTTACTGATCCATTTTTTAGCAGATATTTTAGTGAAAAAAATCGAGAATTCATATATCTTGATGATTGAATATAATATGTAACCATCAGCAGCTCCGAAATAGACCATTCTCAAAACAGATACGTTTAATATAGCATTCTTCTATAAACATGTTCATAGCTAGCTAAATACCTCTCATCCATTTATTTACCTGCAATATATATGTTTTCAAGAGCAGCTATTTCAATAAGTGTCAGCTATTTATTGGAACCTACTGATTGTTTTAGAGCAGGGGTTGTAGAATTGAGTGGAAATATCTATATTATGCAAATAGCTAGTTCCTTCTTGGCAACATTTGATTTATTAATGTACATCATTTTATGAGCTATTCAAGGCTAGGATTATTAAAAACTTCTCATAGCAATTTGAAGTGTTTGATAACTGTTCACGAAAAAAGAAATTTGCCAATTTTAGATTATTCAGTCATTCAACAGAAAAATATCCAAAATTCTATTACAAAAGAATCATCTATTTAAATAATTTAATAGTTGCGTACATTTGTTTAAATGGTTATCAACATTTTAAATAGTTACTTAATCAAATAGCTACGATAGTGTTTTGGAGGCGCCACATTTTAAATAGCTATGAAGCTTTAAATAGCTATGATGTTTAATTAAAAAGTATCTCTTTTGAGAAGCTACGATCTCCGGATCTCTGCGAATGATTTTCCTGCTAATTATTTTGATCGACATGCAACCTATTTTAATAATCATGATCGATACAATAATCCAATATATGAGTGAATTGCAAAATTATTGTACCGTTGTATTCTTGAACGTAAAATTCGAATATCTCGAGTTCTACTCAACCAATCCTAGTGATTTTTTCACCGTATGTTCTACTAAGAAGTCCTCAGTACCACACAAAAAATCACATGTTTACCTTGAATAAGTCCTGAGATAGTGGCTGCACAAGGCTCAAAAGTTCGATATCTGCTGCCATCTACTGCACTAAAAGTCGTATGTCTAACTCGTTACTTGTCATTCGAATTTTGACAATTGATGATATTTATAGTATACAGTCGATACTTCTCGGATATAAAACTCATTCGTTCTTTCGACATGTTTTTTATTATAGTTTTCTCGAAATACCATGAGTACAGACAACTCTCAATTTTCTGTCACGCTAGATTAAAGTTCATTTTTCTATACAACGACCCGTCTGAAATTGATCAGGCTGATGTTAAATAAAAGGCAGTTGGTACTATATGAAACCACCAAAGACGATGAGAGAATTGTCCTACTTCTTGTTGAGAAAAAATATAAAATGAAATTTAAAAAAGCAGTTGTCACACAAAATGTCACGCGAGATTTTTCGATTTGTTTGGAACATAACTATCTTATACTAGGGCAGATTGCGACGAAACTTTGATCATTTTATTCACTCATTGGGCTCAACTACTGGTTAAAATATCAAAGTCAGAAGCCTTGTTTTTCATGCGAAAGAGGAAAAATATCGGCAATATGTCACGCGAGATTTTTTTTCAGAAAACTGTCACACGAGATTGTTATGCACATAATTACCCCATACATAAGACTGGGGCAAATAATTTATATACCACTTAGTATCGTATCTAAAGGACTATCAAAACATATCTGAATTGACTCTAGTTTGAACTTGACAAATTGATAAAATCACAGAAAAACTAATGCTTATGTATATCCATTGATTGTTCGCTTATTTTCAATTTGAAGAGTATATCTACATAAAAACTAAATATAATTTAGAATAGATTACACTGTCTTATCCACTATTTCTAGATAAACTATGGTTTCTCATCATAAGAGTAACACTCAACATTATGACTAACGAATTTACTCAAATATACGAAAAAACTCACATTTAGGGACTTATTATATATTTTTAAAAACTCTAGCAGCTCGGCGAATTTAATAGTGGTAGTCGGAAAAATTTATACATATTCTCCTCTCGTATAGTGCACTAAGATGCACTACTCACAATCTCTAGAATCGAAAATTTTTTTCATCCATTTTTTTTCTCAAAACGGTACAATAGTTTTGCAATTCACTCATATAAAGAATATAGTTTTATTTGATTAAATATTCATTTCTTTTATATTTAGTTCATTTTGTCGTTCGAGTTCTTAATAAAGGAGATGAAGATAATGAAACAATTAAATGTTTTATAACACATAATCTTGAAAAGCATGTTCGAGAATATCCTGGTCAAAAAATTGCTATTCTTATTAATATGAGTGAAGCAGGTATTAGACATTTGGTAAGTTGAATTAAGAATATTTTTTTAATCAACTTATTATTTTTATATTCAGGATTATGATTTGGTTAAATTCATTATTGCTAGCAAACAAAACTTTTATTCAGTTTAATAGGTAAGTATATATAGGACAGTTTTTTAATTTTCATATTGTCATTTTGCTTTTTAGTCTATCTGCTTATGTATAAAATGTCATTTCTTTTATCAGGTAATATTTTTATGTATTGATTTTATAGAAAAATTCCATTTTTCTTCAGCGGCTTGAAAGTAAATTTGTACTATGATAGCGACTGAATCTGAACAATTTGTTAAATTTGTCGATACTAAATCGATTACACAATGTCGTTCACCTGATCAATTATCAACAGCAATGCATGACATTGCAAATGAGAGCTAATGATTCTTTCCGATTAATTTTCTTGTTTCTTATTAAAGACTGAAAATCATTCATCATTGTTCAATGTATGCTTTACTAAAAACAATGAAAAAGGAGCTTTTTGGCATAAACAACAACAAGTCTAGTTGTAATTATACTAATACTCGATTATTTGGTCATCTGATAGTAGTATTTTAATATGAATCATAAATGGAAAAGATTAGAGAAATGAGACAATACTTGTCAAAAATATCATGCTACATCTACTTCTGCTCTTCTTCATGTAAAGCCATCAATTATTATTATCTATAAATAGTTTTATTATTTGATTAAAGTTATGTTTTCTTTTCTTATAGAGCATTGTATTTTGTGTTAAGGATATATGTTGAATTGTTGACTTAATAATTTAATTTTTTGACATTATGAATATATTTTATTTTCTTTAAGAAAAAAAATATTGCCCAAGTCATAGAAAACAAAAATAAACAGGAAAAAGAAAAAAGAAAAAAGAACAAATACGAGGTATGTTTATTTTCGACGTCGAACTTTTTTTGTTTGGAAGTAATAACAATTTGACTTGTTGCAAGTTCACCTGCTGTTGCTTCAACTTTAAGTTTTTCTGCACCCTCAAGATGAAGAATTAAATCACCAACTTGATCATTAAGTGCTTTAATTTCCTAAAACAACAGGTATCAGACTAATGCAAATAAAAAAGAAACACTTTTAACCTTGTCCTGCTTTGTCATTTTATCCATAAGATCATTTTGTTTTTGAATTAATTGTTGGTTCATGATTTTTTCTTCGTTAAAATTATGTTTTAATTTATTTAACTCTTGTTGACTTTTATTGAAACGTTTTTCTAATTGTTTATTCGTTGCTCTTTCATTAACTAAATTTTCTTGAATTTCATTTAGTTGTTTGCCTTGCTTTTCTTTCTCTTGTGTGAAGCCACCAATAGTTGTTGATAAATTTTTGTTTTCATTTCGTAAATCTTCAAGACTTAATCAAATCGATATTCATCAATTTTTCTTTTTCAACAATACGTTCAGATCCGTTATCAGTTTCTAATGGATCATTATAATCAGTCTAAAATGATAATGATAATAAGAATAAGAAAGCAGAAGAAAAAATCTTACTATCATATTTGAGATAAAATCATCAAATGTATATTCAACAAGCTGTGTACAATGTTTTTTTTTGTATAAAATCATTATCATATTTATCAAGAAAAAGATAAAATTTTTTTTTTCTTTCAAATTCATTCCATAAGCATGTTGCGTTGATATACAATGACTAAAAATAGATTTTTTTTTTTCATAAATTTAATAATATAAAATTAATTTTCACATAAATATATGATCTTCTTGAATATGGTCACAAAACACTAGGTTGAGCGATAAACAGATACAAAGATTCTAAAGAAAAAAGAAAATTAAAATCAAAATAAGTTTTGTTTTTTACTTTTTCAACATCGCGTTCTGAATATTTTTGTAAAACAATAGCATCAGTTGTGTTGTTGGAAACATTTAGTTTTTTTTATTCACAAAAATATGTCATCGAAATACAAGTAATAATATATAATAAATTGAATTGATAACAATAAGTTTAACAATCAAATAAATAACATTTAACTAGACGAATACAGAAGAAGATAAAGATAAGTATCAAACTTGTCGATTATCAGTTTATCTTTGCATTCAAATCGATTATAGATAGACGACAGGAAGAAGAAAATAATTCAAGAAAAGAAAGCTCGTCTAGACGACGAAAACAAAGAAAAGAATAAACGAATAAGACGAAAATAGTGACCGTCAGTGATGCATTACACATGTTTTCTTAGAGAGAAAATACAAAGACAAACTGGAGCTTCATTCAGGTGTAAATAATTACAAATCTGCCATTTTTCAAGTATTTTGAACAGCCTCGAAATAACAAAAATGATAACAAAATTAAAACTTAATCTATGCTCAAAATCTTCTCGTTAATCAATGTAATAGCATATTCTAAGAATAACTCAACAACAATCGAATATTTATGACAGAAAATAAAAAAGTACATACAAGTTTTGTCAAAACCATCAGTTCGTCCTACACAATGAATATAATCGTTCATTGATTTTGGCAAATCATAACTGGAAACAACATCTAATATAATATAAAGACTTTAACACTTTCCGTATCAACAAAACATAATTAAAAATACATGATATCTTGAATATCTAAATTACGTAAAGTCAGATCAGTAGCAATAAGAATATTGACAGTGTTTAACTTCAAATCTCCACAAGCCTGTTCACGATCATTTTGGTCTCTAAAGAACAAATCATAATATAAAAAAGGTTAAATCTCTAAATATACCAATAATCATGAATGAACCGATAAGAAATACGTCTTTAAATAAGTTCATTCACAATAACATCAGCGTTATATGTAAAATAAACATTAAGATATTTATAACCATTATAAATGACTTGCAAAGATTTGCGATTAACAAAAACTGATCGCTTTATTCTATGAACTCATCCAATCAATAAAAGTTGATAACTAAAATTCAGAAAAAAGAAATCGTTAATATCAGTATTAAATCCACTTCACTATATCAATTTTTTTTCTCTTTGAAAAATTTCAATATCTTATTCGATACTATGTAAACCCCTCCCCATAATAGAAGCCCCCATTGAAGAGGTCTTTCCAGCAAAATTTTCAGTTTTGCCCAGCAAAACCCGACCAAAGTTTGCAGGGTCTAATAGAAGCCCCTGGGGGCTTCTAATATTGGGTAGGGGGGAAGGGGGAGGGGGGGGGGGTTACACCATAACAACAACTGACATTATAAATATAAGAGAACTAGATGGCATTCGAGTTTTACTCGACTGCGAAATGCAGTTCGAAGCTTTTATTGTCGATTATTGATAAATCGATAATCCGTAGAAAATGAATGATCATCTCTGAATACATACTTTTGAAGTATGTACCCTTTCAAAACGTTTTTCATTCTGGTGAAATTAGTTTTCTTTCTTTATTAATTCATGCAGCAAAGTTAGGTTTCGATTTGTTAATGCTGATTGAAAATAAAATTACAATCAGGCATGGGTGTGGGTGTGGGTCTGGAGATGTTAATGAAGAGAACATCCACATGAACACTCAGCCACATTCGCACCATCCCCACCCCCACCCAACACATACCCACGCCCACGCCCATACCCCCATGTCAAGGGGGAAAAAGCGGATCCCGGGATTTATTCAGCAGCTACCGGGACTTATTTTTTCTGGATTTATTGGAACTTTTTAATAAATCCTGGAATTTATTTCATTCTCGGGACTTATTCGGATCATTGGGATAAATTCCGGGATTTATTTCTCTCTTAAGATTTTTTGTACTTTTGAAATGAACCCAGATATTTATTTTAGTGATGGAATGCATTAGTATTTTTAAACAAATTCTAGGATTTATTTCGCCTTTGAGTATTATTTAGATCACTAGGACAGGTTTCGGGCTCTATTTCTCTATTGAATCTTCTCAGTCAAGTGGAATAATGGTAAACAAACTGTTCAAATCCATTATGATCTCCAGTTTGAGCATTTTAATCATTGAAATTAGTCTTTTCCAGTGAAAAATCGTAAAATGATCATCAAAATGCATTTGAATTAGTTCCTGTACCATTGTAATCAATTAATGATTACCGAGTCTATCTTTTCAGAGTTTTCAACTAATTTAAATATGTTAATAGTTTCTAAAAATTGTATGATTTACTACTCAGTCTTTGTTCAGAAGCAACCCAGGTCAAACAAATAGATGGTAAGATCTTGCATGATCGTTCATCTGATCTTGTATGACCTTGTAAGATCAGACTGAAATCGTACAAAAAAATCGTGGTCTCAGAAATCCTACATCAAGTCTTACTCTAAGATTCTTGACAGATCTTGTTAGTGTATCAGATCTCACTGCAAGATTATAGAAAATTTTATGCAACGGTAAGATCTGACAAGAATCTTACACTAAGAATTTATGTAAGATTTCTGAGACCACGATATTTTGTACGATTTCGTATGATCGTACAAGACTTAATGTCAGATTTTTTGACCTGGGAACCGTACCCAGGTCGAAAAAGCTGACATCAGATCATGCAAGATCCGATAAGATCTTACCCTTATAAGATTTTTCCTATTATCTTGTCACAAGATCATATGATTTCATATATTCTTTTTTTTTGAAGATTTCCTTAGATTCTTATCTTATAAGATGTCAGCAAAAATCTTACAAGATTTAAAGATTAAGAAATGTAGAAGTACACGCTGAATGCTTGTGAGATCTTTTCAGATCATTTAAGATTCGTGTAAAAAGAAACATATAACAGTACATAATGTAGATCCTGTCTGTTCTTATATGATGGTGTATGGTCTCTCCTGTTCTTTAACTTATTCGAGAATTCATGATTCGATTAGTTTTACTATAAAGTATAGTAGTTAAAAGAAAGGATTAATCTGTGTGCATAATTTGTTTTCGTACTTTTCTCTAGTGATCATGCTAAAAATCTTAACTTTCATTTCTTATTCTTCTGTATTAATAATATAGAAAATGTTAAGTTTCATTTCTGATTTTTCTAAATTGATACTAAAGAAAAAGGGTAGTTTAATTTTAATCGTTCAATATTTGATGATATAGAGAATCCTAATTTTTACTTTTTATTTTTCTACATTTCATATTATATAATCTCCTATTCATTATTTTTCATTTTTCTATGCTGATAGTATAGAAATTTCAATTTTTATTTCTAGTTTTTCTATTTTGGCAATATAAGGAATTTTATTTTTACTTCTAATTTTTCTACATTAATAATATAGAATATCTTTTTTTTTAATTCTTCTTTTCTATATTTATAATTTAAATAACATTTAGTTTTAATTCTTATTTTTCTATATTGGTAAGGTAGATAATAGTTTGTTATATGGTTTTTATTTTCTATAAGCATAATACAGAAAATCAGACTTTTATATATTTTTTCTATATTGATGATATAGAAACAGTTAATTTTCTGTCTTGTTTCTCTAAAATGATAATAAAGAAAATACTAATTTCTATTTTTTATTTTTCTGTATTGACAATGTAGCTAATAGCTATTTTCATCCGTTATCTTTCTATATTCTCGGTATAGATAACAGTTACTTTTATTTATTATTTTTCTACATCAATAATAGAAGAATCTTAGTTTTCATTCTTTATTTTCCTAAATTGGCAGTATAGCAAGTCTTATTTATTATTTTTCATTTTCTATATTGATAATATAGAAAACAGTATTTTAATTTTTCTGTATTTGATAATATGGAAAATCCTATACAGCAGAGATGGAACCGGTACCGGTTACCGGCCGGTCCGGTCCGGTCCGGTCCGGTACCGGTCTGGGTTTTGGATCGACCGGTCTACCGGTCCATACCGGTCTACCGGTCCATACCGGTCTACCGGTCTATCGGTCCGTACCGGTCTACACTGATCTATATTTTTCATTTTCCTGCTCTATGATTGCATTCAAGGTATGAAGGTAACGCACCAGAGAGTTCACTGCACAAGAGGATTTCATTTTAGGCTGCAGCCTGTTGTCTGTAGATCGATATTTTATCGATAGGTCGGGTTTTCCTGATAAACTAGCGTATCATCAGTATTCTGTCACTATCGGTAGACCGGTTTGGACCAGTCACACCGGTTTAGACCGGTAGACCGGTATGGACCGGTAGCAAGGGGGAAACAGCTAAAATCTGATTTTTTTGCTGTTTTTGATTTTTTTGATTTTTCTGATTTTCTTGATTTTTTTTTGATTTTTTTTGATTTTTTGATTTTTCTGGTTTTTTTGATTTTTTCGATTTTTTTAATTTTTTTGATTTTTTTGATTTTTCTGATTTTTTTTCTGATTTAAATCAAAAAAGTCAGCGGTTTCCCCATAGACCGGTATGGACAGGTAGACCGGTAGACCGGTATAGACCGGTAGACCGGTATAGACCGGTAGACCGGCCGGTCCGGTCCGGTCTACCTTTCTCCAGACCCGCACCGGTACCGGTCTGAAAAAAAGTGGACCGGTTCCATCTCTGCCTTACAGGGTGTTACATAACCTTTTTCTCCCCCTCTATCAACTTCAATTGTAAACGATATTACAAAGTATTATATACCAAATTAAAGCGTGTCAAAAACTGGATTCATTGGTACTAAATAGTAAAGGTTATGAAGA